GCTGCCGTTGCCTGCGGCTCGGGACCCCTGCCCCCGCCTCCCCCGCCTCCGCCCGCCGTCATGTCTGCCGTCGCCAAGCGCATCCAGGAGGGCAAGAACATGGCGCGCAAGAAGATGCGCACGCTCCACTGGAGCATCATCCCCAAGGTTCGTGAATCGATCCCCCACCCGACCCGCGAGGGCCACAGTGTGATAGCCGCCATCGCACTCACACGACCACCCGAACTCGCCCCGACTGGCGCAGGACAAGCTGGGCGAGACCGTGTGGAAGGCGCCCGAGATGGTGGACAGCCCCGGCATCGATCTTGACACCAACGAGCTGGAGTCCATGTTCTCGCTGTCGCCCGACAAGGTAGACACGCACACGACATGCGCATACGACACACGACACCCGACACGCTCCGAGCAGCGATTGACTGAACCCCTAATACAGAAGGCCAAGGGCGAGTCCAAGCAGGAGGAGAAGAAGGGCGGCATCCGCGGCAAGAAGCACTCGCCTCTCATGGAGCTGCTCAACCTGCAGCGGGTGAACAATATCGGCATTCTGCTGTCCCAGTTCAAGGTGCCCCTCGAGGAGGTCATCGGTGCCATCTGGCGGATGGACGAGAGCGCCCTCTCGCTCGAGAACCTCAAGGCCCTCCGATACATCGCCCCCAAGGACGACGAGGTATTCGTTGATCCCGTTGACCTCCCACCACCACCACCACCACCACCACCACCACCACCACCACCACCACCACCACCACCACCACCACCACCACCACCACCACCACCACCACCACCACCACCACGCAATACTGTTGGCTCAAGCTCACCGCCGCCGCGTCTCGCTCCTCTCCACTTTAGATCAAGATATTGAGGACCGTTGTCGGTAAGCTGGACATGAGCCTGCTCACCAAAGCCGAGCGATTCCTGCTCATGGTAAGCTCCCTACCGCGTCCTTTCAACACCACCATCACGACCTTTTTACTCACCGCGTCCGATCACTGATGACCTCTCCGTCCAGCTGGTGGAGGTGCCTCGCCTGTCCCAGCGGCTTGAGTCGTTCCTGTGGAAGCGACAGTTTCCCACCCTGCTGGCCGAACTGGCGGCCGACACGGCTTGTCTCCTCATGGCCTGCGACGAGGTCAAGACCGCGAAGAAGCTGCCCCAGATTCTCAAGGTACGAAGCGACCTCATCAGAGGGAACTTGGGATGACTCAAGCGCTGGATGGGGTGGGCGAGGGCTAACGAAACGCTCGCGATTGGTGCCGCTCCATCAGATCGTGCTGACGATTGGGCAAGTGCTCAACAGAGATTCGTATCTTTTCAACTCAGATGGTTTCAAGCTGGAGTCTCTGATGCGAGTACGCCCCTTCCCTAATACACACCTGGGCTGGTGCCGTGATGTGGTAGCGTGCTGACTCCGTGTTGGTCTAATAATTGTGTGGCAGTTGACCGAGACGAAGGGCAAGAACACCCAGTTCACCATCCTCCACTTCTTGAAGAAGGAGGTCCAGACCAAGAAAGAGCACCTGCTCTCATTTTACGACGAGCTGCCCAACGTCGAGAAGGCCTCCAAGCGTACGTGTGTGTCCGCAAAGATGCCTGTCGGCCCGCAATCTCACCCCTGCTCTGTTTCTGTGCGCAGTGTGCATGGAGCACATCATCATGGAGGTGCAGAAGATCAAGAAGGACCTGACGCAACTTGAGCGCGAGCTCGCCGTGAGAAAGGAGGAGAAGGACAAGCTCTCGGCCGAGCAGCCACCAGCACCGGAGGACCACTACTGCGAGCTCATGGGCGTACGACTCTCTTCTTTCCTCCACGCTTATACTTGAATGCTGACGGGCGAACCCCATGCCATGCAGGCCTTCTTTGAGGACGCCAAGCTGCAGTTCGAGCGCCTGGCTGGGCAGGTGGACTCTGTGCTGGCCAAGTGGAACGAGCTGGCCCGCTTCTATGGCGAGGTACGTAACAGTTCAGTTCAGTTCAGTTCATGCCCGTCTCTTTCAAGCTTTTGCTGACCAAGTTACCTACAATTCATCATCGTTCAGGACGCGGACAAGGCTCCGCCGCAGCAGTTCTTCTCGTGCCTGCACCACTTTGCCCACCAGTTCCACTCGCTCAAGCTGCCCGCTGCCTTCCTCGAGGGCAAGGTGGGCAAGTGAGGTGAGTGACAGCACAACAAAACAAGCGAGAGCGATCGTGGAGCGTTGGTTTGGAACCTACCCTCCATCCTCTATTTTTTTTGCAATGTAAAGAAATTCTTTCTACCATCCTCTTGTGCCAACATCAATCTCATGAGCTGGGCGCATCATCTGAACAGGTTGTTGTGTTGCATGCAGTTCATAGTTTAATCATCATCACCATTGGCCTTTTGTACAAAAAACATCCACTCTCCTCTCTCCTCACCCCAGGTAACAAAAATTGGTGGTCTCCTCCTCTCTGGCCTCACGTTTCGTGGAAAGATCGCTGTGGGACGTTGAGTGAGGGGTTGTTGATGGAGACGCTGTCGGCGTTGATCAGGCGGTAGGGCCGCTCCCCTCGCCACCACATTTGGATGTCCTGTTGGTGTGTGGCGGGGCAGTGCGTGAGGTCAAGAGTCGATAAAGTGTGGTCAGCCATGCGTGTGAACTAAGGTGCGAACCTTGGTCACGCCAGAGGTCAGCCCATAGACAAAGGCGTCGATCGCCCCCTGCAGAGGATACGACCACGACTGCCGACGAGCAAGTGGTCAGCACGAAACACCAGCTTTGGGGGCCGGCAAGGGGCTATGACGACGGTGGTGACGACGATGGGACGTACGCGACAAGCGACGAGCACGAAGATCGGCGGCAGCCAGATCTCGTAGACACGGCTAACCGAGGGGAGGATCCACAAGATGATCGAGGCGATGGGGTAGATGAAGAGAGCCCGGGTGGTCTTCTTCCGCTGCACCTCTTCCGCCGATTCGGTGCCGGTCACTGCACCACAGTGGTACTTCCCCTTAACACCGCACACGCATGACCGCACACGCATGACCGCACACAACAGCCGCAACACGCGCACACGCACACACGCGCGCGACATGGCACCTGTGGAATGGAGCAGGCCCTTCTTTTTGGCGATGTGTGCGTCCTGTTGTCGAATGAAGAGCCACACTCGGAGGTAGATCACGATGATGAGCCCGATGATCACCCACGACCTGCCGGCAGCCGCGTGAGACAAGAGCGGGTGTGCAACCGGCGGCGGCTGGGGCTCGGCGAGTCGGGCAACGCACCCAATGTAGAGCAGCACGAACCGGGCGTACTTGGGCTCATCGGCCAGCCAACACCAGCCGCCCGCAGGCACGTAGCGGAAGTCGTCCAGGCCGAAGAAGGGAAACACGGCGAACGCCGCGCCCCACACCCACGCCGTCGCCTAACGCAAAGAGGTAAAAGGTCAGACCGCACACGCACACGCACACGCACCGCCGCACACGCACACGCACACGCACAGAGGCAGGAAGAGAGGCGTGTACGTGGAGCGCGATTTCGACGGGGACGCTCATTTCCTGTCCACGGACGGTGGCCGAATATATGAGTATTGATATGATCAATATGTACATATTGGACGCCTGCCCTCCAAACGTGATCGTCCAGCCTGGCAAGCTCACGTTAGCCAAACCGCGCGTCTCGTTTTATTTTATTTTATTGCTGACGACGAACCTTGCATGTAGCACAATGCGCCGGTGAAGGTCCAGCCGGCCAGCCAGGCCAGGGCGCCGCTCGCCTGCCATAAATAACAATGGAAAAGGCATTGCCGATTTTTAATTATGAAATTAAATAATCAATAAAACAATTATAAAAAACTAAAGAGGTAAAATGGAAATAAAATAACGAAGGGGGGGGGCGAACCATGCAGATGCCGAGGAGGAGGTCGACGAGGGTGAGCCCGACGACGAATCGCCAGTACTGGAGGTCCAGCTTGCGAAAGAGGAGGGCCGAGAAGATGATGAAGAGCGAACCCAAGATGGAGAGGCCGCCGCACACCCCGGTGCCCACCATGAGGACGAACGTCTCATCCTCGCTGAACCCCATGTCGAGGGGACCGTCTCTCTTTTTTCGTTTTATTTTTATATTTCTATTTATCTTGTCTTTTGCCCGTAAACCGTTTACGGCCAACCCCACCTCCACGCCACCAATCATTGCTTAGCGTGACGTCAGCAGCTCGCGCGAGGGAAAGCGTTGGGTTTCGGCTCCCCACAATTTTCTCGGTTGGTCTCTGTTCAGCGAAGGGGTGGCGGGGCTCCCAAAGGACAACACTCGCCCACCAGTCGTACGACCGACTACACAACACAGCTGCCCAGAGATCGAATGGAGAAGGAAGACGACCTTGCCTTTGCCCTGTCCATGGCCAACTTGGGCTCCGGCCGAGTCTCCCAAGAAGAGGTACTTTTTTTTTCTATTTATTGATTTACTTTAATAAATTCTTTTATTTTATATGAAATATTTGAGAGCTGGCACTTCGACCTGCACCCTGAACTATGTATACATATATATATATATATAAATATGTACAACATTAAAAAAACTGCACCTATGATAGGTGCAGGACGAGAGTACGGTGACGCTGGCTCAGGAGATCAAGCGACTGGCAGCCAAGTATGGCCCGGAGCGATTCACCGAGACCTCGCTGGGCTTCAAGCTCGCCTTCGTGAGCGCGGAGGGTACCACCAAAGCACAGTTTTGTTTTAAAAGTTGCCTGCCAGCGCCTGTCGCTGTGGCTGACGTGTGCGGCAACGGCGATCCTCGTTGGCAGTCAATGTGGTGGTGGAGGTGGAGCTGGACACTATGATGTACCTCGAAGACGATCCGCCACAGTTCAAGGTTTGGCTTCATGTGAACCCGGTTCGGTTTGCCGCTCACCGCCAACCGCTAACCGCCACTCCCGTCGACCTGCGCAGGTGCAAAGCAATGGGGCGCACGTGGGCGGTGCTGATTGCAGGGAGCTGCGCTCGCTCCTCGAAGAATACGTGCGTCTCTCTCTGTGTGGTGTGTGTGTGCGTACGTGTGTGTGTGTGTGTGTGTGTTGGTGTACCATGATATCACAGCACGTGTTGGGCAGAGATCACACAAGCAACCCCCACAACCTCGTGTGCCATGATCTCGTGTGTGTCGTGTTGTGTTCCGTCGTTTGTGTTGCAGTCGGCTGGGCTGACATGGTGACACCGTGTCGTGGGTGCCCGGTCTCCCTGTGTACCAGGCCGAGGATTGGATGGTCGAGGAGATGCCCATTCTCGAGCGACTCATGGATGCCGTGCGCGACTGGTACGTGCACCACCTGGGCCACACGGATGATTGGTCCACTGATCCGGCCTGGGCTGTGCAGGCTGTTCTGGAAGACCGAAGACGCCCAGTTCGCCCCGCCAGCGCCGGCACCGCGGGCGACTTCGCCGGTACGCCTGGAGCCACTTGGCCCTTCGCTTCCCTCACTTTGATCTTGGCCTTGTGACGCTCAACTGTGTGTTTCGGGTGTGATCCTGCGCGGTCATTTCTTGCAGGGCAAGGCCGGTGCCAGTGCCGCTGCCGGTGCGGGCTTCAGCGACCACAAGGAGAAGAAGGCCAAGGAGGAGCAGAAGAAGCAGAAGGCCGCCGCCAAGCCCAAGCCCACACCCAAGCCCAAGCCGGCACCCCAACGAGTTGCCTACACGTGCGTGGCTTCCCAATCTCTCCATCTCTCCCCCTCCTCTCTTCATCCTGTTGGTCGGGTGGCGTGGGCTCACCCCGGCCCTGCGCGTGCTCAGTCCGGTCTATCAGCCGCCTGTCTATCGACCGCCCCCTGTCTACCAGACGCCCTGGAACTACGTCGCTCCCCGCAATCCTCCGCCGGCTCCCGACATGTACGCGTGCCTCCTCACATTCCTCATTCTCTCGGCACCGGCGATCCAACTTTTCTCTTTTCTTCTCTTTTCTCTTCTTTTTCTCTTTGATGCCCAGGACTGCGGTCCGCACGCGGTTTGAGGGGCTCTACGGGCGGCCGCTGTCGGCCGACTTCCTCGAGACCTGGAACCTGCCCTCGTATGGCGCGGGCGCTCCGCCACGCGACCACAACCGGGACAAGTTCATCGACCGACCGGAGACCGAGTGCGACGAGGAGACGCTGATCAAGATCGAGGAGGCCTACGTCAACGAGAACCGCATTCTGAGCATCACCAACAAGGGCGTCCCTGCGCTCCCGATCGAGCTCATGGGCCGCTTGACGACGCTCACCGAGCTCAATCTGCACAACAACAAGCTCTCGGCGCTTCCCGTCACCATCTGCCAGTTGTCCAGCCTCACCAAGGTGCCAACAGCCTGTTCCCGGGCTTTGGTGTGTGTGTTGTTGTGTGCGGTGTGTGCGGTGAGTCAACCGATGTTAACGTGGGTCGTAAAACACGCCCGTTCTCTCCAGCTGTACGCGTCGTTCAACCAGATCACCGAATTCCCGGCGGAGCTTACTGTTCTCCCTCAGCTGCTCAATCTGGACCTGTCCCACAACAAGTACCACGAGACCCCTCTTGTCTTGTCTCTCTTGAGGGCTCTGCTGCAGAGCGTCGGATGTAACCTGTTCATTCCCCGCCGCCGCGGCGGTTAGGTTGATCACGATGCCGCCGCAGGTGGACCAGATGACAACCCTGCAGATCCTCGAACTCAACCACAACCAAATTCGCGGCCTTCCTCCCCAGGTAACCCCAGACCTCCGATCGTCTCAAATAATAACTGTGGTTGACGCTTTCGTTCTTTCTTTTGTTCGTTCTTTTTTTCCTTCTTTCTTTCGTTCATTGCAATCAGATGGGCGAAATGCCGAGCCTGCGCAAGCTGTACCTGAACAACAACAAGATCATGTTCGTACCGACCGAGCTGGGCTATCTGCCCAAGCTCACTCTGCTGCGCCTGGTGCGTCCCCCTCTCTCGTATCAGTAGTCCAGTTTACAGTTCCCAATGGCTCACCACAATCCTCAACTCCCCTCAGAGCCACAACCCGATCAAGAACCTGCCGGTCGACGAGTACCAGCAGGGCACGGCCAAGACGCTTGAGTTCCTGCGCACGGCCGGCCCCGGCGTGGAGACCGGCCGGCAGCTGAAGAACTTCGCCTTTGTCAAGGAGTTCAGCGACGTGGAGTTCATCGTCGGCTCGGAGGTCTTCCCGGCTCACAAGGTGCGTCGGCCTCCGCTTAGTGACCACCCGCAAGCAGTCGACTGAACTGGCGAGGGCGGTCGTCTGCAGGTGGTGTTGTGCGCGCGATCGCCGGTGCTGCGCGTGTTGCTGCATTCCATGTCGGAGTCGGAGTCGGCGAGCGGGGTGGTGGAGTTGCGACCACCCGCTGAGCTGAGCCATATTCCCGTCGACGTGTTCCGAGAGTTCATCGGCTACCTCTACCGCGACACTGTCGAGAAGGATAAGCTCAAGGTACGTGTCCTGTTCCGCATCGCACGTGTGCCGTTTACGTCTCGACTAACACGCACACGCACACGCACACGCCTACGCACACGCACACGCACCACCGCACACGCACACGCACACGCACACGCACAGGAAATTGGCAATGACCTGGAGGTGGTGGCGAACTACTACGGGGTGGAGCGGCTCGAGGAGATGTGCAAGCGCCTCAAGTTCGGCTACGTCGTGGTCCGCGAGTCCACCTTTGCCCAGGACTTTGGCGTGTTGATGGAGGAGCCCATGCGGTATTCGGACGTTTCGTTCCTGGTCGAGGGGGTCCCGATCAAGGCCCACAAGGTGTTCCTGGCGGCCAGTTCGGAGTACTTCAAGGGCATGTTCACCTCCGGCCTCAAAGAGGCCCAGCAAGACGAGATCGAATTGCCTCACGTCCGAGAACCCATCTTCCGGTACCCCACAACGCACACGCACACAACACACGACGCACACGCACGCACACACACACACACACACACACACACACACAGAACACGCACTGGCTCACTGATCACCGATGATGCAGGGCCATTCGAGAGTACTGCTACACGGGCGACGTGGAGGAGATCACGGGCGACACCGCCGTCGACCTGCTCGGGGCCTCGTGCGCGTACACTCTGCCCCGGCTCAAGATGATCGTCGAGTCGCTGCTGGGCTACTCGCTCGACGTGGACAACGTGGCGTGCCTCTACCCCGTGGCGGTCATGTACGAGGCGCAGGTGCTGGAGCGGGCCTGTGAGTTCTTCATGGCCCAGTTCCTGGCGCAGGTGAAGGCCACCGAGGCCTGGGCCGATCTGCCGCCCGAGCTCAAGGCCAAGGTCGAGGAGCAGACCATCAAGTGGGGCCTGAACAAGAACAAGAAGTGGTGATCATCTCACACGAGCGAACAATATTAAAAATGAAATGATCATTTCATTATTATTGTTTTTATTTTCGCTGGCCATTTATTCGGCTGATATTTGGGTTATTTTTTGTTGTTTGGTTGCCAAGATCAGAGCAGCAACGACGAGGGCGGTTCGGTTGCATTTTGTTTGAAGCTTGTCGTTCGCACACTCAACGATGCCGAAGGATAAGGTGAAGATCAAGTACGAGATTACCGTCAAGAAAATCACCAAACTCCCCGAGAAGCTCAATGGAAGCACCATCTTCATCTTGTGGAGGCGCGGCTCGCGCAAGAATCAAGGCCTGACCAAACGAGCCCTCGTACTCATCCTTTACTTCACGATTTTCAAACAATCAATTAATTTAACCAGCAAGTTTTTTTGTAATTAATATTTGTGCAGCTATTTTATTTATTTATTATTTGTTTTCTTTGATGGCTGAGCTGACGACGGTGGGTGGACGACAAGGCGCGAGACTGCCTGGCCACTTGGGAGGAGAAGATCGTGTTCACGTGCTCCCTCACGCGCGAGTCTGAGGCCGACGAGTTCGACGCGCGCGGCATCTCCTTCAGCTTGAAAGAGGTGCGCTCACCTCGCGATCTGATAGTGGCGTGCGTGTCGTGTCGTGCGTGGCGTGCGGAGTGGCTCACTCAGTTCTCTCTTGGCTGCGAGCAGGATGTCATCGGCAAGCGCAAGCAGGACAAGACGCACTCGAGCACCAAGCTCAACCTTGCCGAGTACACCAACGAAGACGGCACTGACCAGATCACCTTGCCGCTCAAGTTCAAGAAGTCCAAGGACACCTCAACCCTCGTGGTACCTTATCTTCGCACACACCGCACACACCGCACACACCAACGATATCTGTTCTTGTGCATACAGTTGACCATCAAGACGCAGTGGCTCAAATTCAACGACAAGATTCTCAAGAAGCAGTACGCAGCCTTGGATCGTTTTGCTTGCGCCAAACATGTGATTTACTCAAACGGCACACACACGACACACACACGACACGCACACACGCACTCACACGCACTCCATGCGCAACATTAAAGGGTGGACAAGAAGGACAGTTCGGGCAAGGTGCTGGAGTTGGACGGCGGGTCGTTTGAAGCCGAAACCGATCCCAACATGTCCGAAACCGAGAACTCGGACAGCGTACGCCCCACATCTCATCTTCCTTGCTCGCCGGCGTGGCCCTCACACGACACGACCAACGACACGACACGACACACAGGAGGGTGAGGGTGAGGTGTTCTCTGAGGCGGAGGATGACGACGACGACGATGGCGAGGGCGGCGGCGGCGGTGGTGGTGGCGCGAGCGAGGGAGCCAAGAAGAAGCTGGCGCGGCTCGAGCAGGAGGTCTACGAGCGCGGCAAGATGATCCGACAGCGCGAGGAGGCCCTCGACAAGCTCAAGACCAAGGTGGGCAAGCTCAAGCAGGAGCGCGCCCAGGCCGAGGACCTGCGGAAGGAGGCCGAGCGGCTGCGGCAGGAGAAGGCCGACGCCGAGCGCGCGCGGGCCGAGGCCGAGGCCCACCTGCAGACCGTCGCCGGCCAGCTGACGGCCTTCCGCGAGGGCAAGGGCGAGTCGGATGTGATCCAGCAGCAGGAGGACGAGCTCCGCAAGCTGCGGCAGGAGCTGATCGAGGCGCGGCAGCGCAGCGAACAGAGCGCGGCGGCGGCCGATGAGGCCAAGGCGAGGGAGAAGGAGCTCGACGCCCTCCGGCTCGAGGTGACCAAGCTCAAGCACGAGCTCGAGGAGAAGGACTGGAATCTCTCCGTCCAGCGACGGCGAAGAGGCGACGACAGCTCCGACACCGATGACGACGACGGTACTTTTGCGCGTGCGCGTGCGGTTGAGCCTGTGCGTTTGGGCGCGTGTAGTGTGTGGAGTCGTGTGGCTGATGAGTACCACCAGGCATGAAGCGGTCCAAGTCAGCCGAGGGCGGGGCCAAGGACAAGCTGGCCGCGCTCAAGAACGAGGCCGAGACGTTCAAGCAGCAGCGGGACGAGCTCAACTTCCTCATCACCGGCTTCTACCACGAGAACCAGCTCAACTTCTCCGAGGACCGGACGCCCGTGCCGGCCGACCGCGCCCTGCGCGTGTTCACCAAGTGGAAGGTGTTCGAGAAGGGCGCCGAGCGCGGCGATTTCCTGAACTACCTGGTCGACGCCATCGACGCGAGCTCGAAGCGGACCGACAAGATGATGACCGGCTACTGGCTCTCGATCGCGTCCTACATCTACCGCTCCCTGCGGCTCGAGTTCGGCTACAACCACGCGGTGGCGTCCAAGTCCGGCAAGGCCGGCGTCATCGGCGACTTTGCCGCGCGCCTCCAGATCGTCATCGCCGCCATCTTCGAGCGGCTCCTGACCAGCCTCTACACCGTACGTCAAATATTAGCAATTACAATTACAATAATTATTATAAATATGTGGAATTGTTACTGACCAACCCTGGGCTGCCCACAGGAATTGGCGACCGTGCTGAGCATCGCCGTTCTCGAGCAGCCCTCAGCCCTGAGCAGTGCCACGTAAGCGCCTTTATTCTCTTTTTAGTTATTTGATTATTATTTCTTTATTTGGTTATTAATATTTATTTATTTGGTTATAAATTGATTTATTCCTTGTGTGAAGGAAATGCACGCTCCATTCGACGCAGGAGACGTTGCTGCCGATCCTCGATAGCTACCTCACGGTCTTCACGGAGAACAGCATCCACATGCAGCTCATGAAGCAATTCTTCTCCCAGGCCTTTACTTCATCAACTTCACCCTATTCAACACGCTGTACGACACACACACACACACACGCAACACACACACACACACACACACAACTGCAAAGCTCTGTGTTAACCTGTAGAGCCTGTCGCCCAGTTTGAACACAAAGCGCATGTGTACGTGCTCCAACGGATTCCAGATCAAGCTCGAGCTGTCGCAACTCGAGCAGTGGATCAGCAAGACCCTCCAGATTCCCGAAATCAAGTACGCATGTAGTTCGCACGTGTGTCTGTGTGTGTCGTGTGTGTCGTGTGTGTCGTGTGTGTCGTGTGTGTCGTGTGTGTCGTGTGTTCCGACTGCACGAAAATGGTGTAACGGCATTGTGCGTGAGCAGGAGCCAGCTGGACATTATGGCGCAGGCGGCCAACGTGCTGGTCATGGACAAAGTATATACGTCTCAACGACACGAGCCAAGAGTATCCCTTCACGATCGCGCGCATAGCGAACCACACTAATCCCCTCCCCCGCACGACACGACACGACACGACACGACACACAGAACGTGATCTTGGAAGGGGACATGCTGAAGCAGATCTGCCCGCTCCTGACCGCCAAACAGATCAAGCGCCTTCTGGAACTCTTCACGCCAGACCAGTACGTTTGTTACTGTTCCATTTTTCTTGTTTTTGTCTTTTGTATTAGTTTTTTTTTGTTCGCTCGAGTGTGTCATGTGTGTTGGTTGGTGACAGGTTGTCGCCGACGCCGGTGCCGCCGGAGGTGTTCGCCAAGCTCAAGAAGGCGTCGGAGGGCGACAACAGGCCGCTCGAGACGGCGCCCACCAAGATGGTCGAGCCTCTGTGCTACGACTTCTGAGCTGTTTTGTGAGCGTGAGCTGCTTTATTTGCTTCAGCCAGAAACGGCCTCGCGCTCAGTTCTTCTTGTCGGCGTTGTACACATCGCGGGCCAGGTAGGCCTTGACCCGCTCGCGCTGCGACACGCCGTCAACGAGTCGCTTCACGGCGGGGAAGGCCCCGAGCAGCGCGTCGCGGCTGCCCTCGACCCGGCCGAACACCAGCTGCAGGGCTACCCACAGCGCGACGTCGGCGTAGCTCAGCCGCGCGCCCACCAAGTGGCCGTTGTCGCCGTTGCGCTCGAGCAGCCTCTCAAAGCTCGGCAGCTGCGCCGGCAGGGTCTCCCCGACCAGCTTCTGCTTGGCCTCGGCCTGTTGGTCGGCCGGCGTGCCAAAGATGACCTTGGCGATGGCCGTGAACGTGTCGGCCACGCCTTCGTTGGCCTGGTCGATCAGGGCCGCCTCGTGGGGGCTGGCCCCGTTGTAGCCGTGCTTGCGGGCCAGGTGGCGCGCGATGGCCGAGCTCTGGACCAGGGTCAGGCCATCGGGCTCCTCGTAGAGCGGGACCTGGCCGAATGCCAGCTTGCCCGCGGCGGTGAGCCGGGCCTTGGCCTCGGGCCAGTTGGTGACCGGCACGAAGTCGTAGTCGACCCCGGCGTCAAAAAAGCGGCGGTTATTTCCTTTTGGCGCAAAACAACTTTATGTGTTCACTCGCGATTGGCGGCGCAGTTAGTGAAGAAAGGCGACGCTGTCCTTAGTAGCCGCCATCGCACTCGGGACAGCACTTGCGGTGGTCGGGGCAGCACTCGCCGGCCTTGAGGTACTTGCCGTGCTCGTCCGGGTAGCAGCCCTGTGCGTCGGCGTAGAACACGCCGCAGTCGAGCTCGATCGGGTAGCAGCCCTGGGCGTCGCGGTAGCGCCACTCGCGGCCCACCTTGCGCGGGCAGCACCCGTGGCCGTCCTTCCACTGACCGCCGGGGCACTTCTTGTCGTCCTCGCACGGCTTCTCGGTCGTGGTCTTGCGGCACTCCTCGGTCGTCGTGGTATGCCTCTTCGTCGTGGAGGTCTCCTTGGGGCACTCCTCCGTGGTGGTGTGCTTCTTGGTCGTGGTGGTCTCCTTCTTGGTGGTGGTCTCCTTGGGGCACTCCTCGGTCGTGGTGGTGTGCCTCTTGGTCGTGGTGGTCTCCTTGGGGCACTCTTCGGTGGTCGTGGTGCGCTTGGGGGTGGTGCGCCTCTCGGTGGTGGTAGTGTGCTTCTTGGTGGAGGTGGTCTCCTTTCTGGTCGAAGTGGTCTCCTTGGGGCACTCCTCGGTGGTCGTGGTGGTCTTGTCACAGTCCTTCTCGTCGTAGTGATCGGGGCGGATGCAGCGCTCGTGGCACTTGCGCTCCCACGAGCACGACTCGCCGTCCTTCGCGTAGTTGCCCTTCTCGTCCGGGTAGTACCTGCATGTCGTTCATCATCAGCTCACAATGTGTTCACATGGAGTGCGTGCTGTGTGTGTGCGGTGTGTGCGGTGCGGTGAAGCATACCCACGACCGTCCGCGTAGTAGACGCCACAGCCGAGGTCCTTGGGGTAGCACTTGTTGCCGTCGCGGTAGTAGGCGCGGCCCTTGATGATCTCCGGACAGCAGCCCTTGCCGTCGGGCCAGTAGCCGCCCTTGCACGGTCCGCCGTCGTGCTTCTTGTTGTAGTCATCGGCCAAGGCCGTGGCCGCGAGAGCCAGGCCCAAGGCCAGCATGAAGAGTAGCTTTGTCGCAGGTGACATGAGTTAGTAGTAGTAGGTTGGTGGGTAGGTAGTTGCTTGAAGAAGAAGAAGAGGATGAAGTGATTTTTGTGAGGCCAGGAGACCAGCCTTTTGTGGTGGCGGTCGGCCAATCGCGCGTCTTCTGCCAGAGCGCTCAAGTGAGGTGAGAACCAGGTGGCCGTGGACATAGAGCTCTCGGGCGCCACAGAGGGCCAGCCACCAGGGGCACGAGTTTTCCTTGGCCTGCCCCACACGCCCAAAGGCTTCATTCGACGACACTCTGTGTGTGTCGCATTGTGTGCCGAATCACGAGGCGCCTGGCGCGTAAAGTCGAAGCGAGCGTTGTGTGTCGAAGGCGACAACCACGTTTACTTTCGAAAGAACGTAGCTATGATGATGGGCAGGGGCTGTCTGGGTGAGTGTCGACACTAGTCGTCCCCGATGTAGCCCGACGAGGTGTGGCTCCCGATGGAGGCGCCACTCATCATGGTCACCATCATCGCCATCCCTGCGCCGCCTCCGCTGCTCGCGCTGCCGGCACTGAAGCTTTCGCCGCCACCGCCGCCGCTGAGGTGCTCGGCCTCGTCGATGTAGCACGGGCTGAAGTCGATGGCTCCCTCCACCCCGTGGGCGGCACCGCTCCAGCCAACGGCGACGGTGGCCGACTGCCCCGACCCGAGGCTACCGAGCGGGTCCGGGGCTGGCCCGCTCTCGCCTCCATCGTCTGTTATCGCAGCATCAGAGCACGCGCGTGTCAGTGACCCGCCGCCGCCGCCGGAAAGAGAACTAAGGTACCGTGGAGACTGTCAAGCAGATGGAGGATGTCTCTGAAGTGCGGTCGAAGCGCGGGGTCCTGGTTGAGGCACGAGTCGATCAGGTCGTGCCAGCCCAACGGGACGCACGCGGGGACGTCGGGGCGGTAGCCCAGCTTGACGGCTTCACCGAACGCGACCGGGTCGATCATGCTGGCGTGGGGCTCCTTGCCGGTCCACAGCTCGTACAGAATGCACCCAAACGAGTACACGTCGGCCTTCTCCGTGTAGATTTCCCCTTCAAGGACTGTGCGCCATAGACGACAGAATTAGCCAACGCACTACACAACACCATACCGACACCACACACACACACACACACACACCTTCGGGAGCCATCCAGGGAATCTGGCCGATGCCGTAGGTCTTGTTGCTGGCGTCCTGCTTGACGTGGGACAGACCAAAGTCGGCCACCTTGGTGATGAGGTTGCGGTCCAACAATATGTTGTGACTGGTCAGGTCCCTGTGCAGCAGCGGCTTGGGCTTATTGGCGTGCAGGTAGGCCATGCCCTTGCAAATGTCTGCGTGGCCACCGCATGCACAAACCGTTGGTTAGCCAACAACAGTCGGTACTGCGCAACTGCTGCTTACGTAAGCAACTGCGAGAACGCGAGCGAGCCCTACCCGACACGATTTTATGTCGCAGCCCCGGCTGGGTCTCGAGCGTGAAGAAGCAGTCTCGCACCAGCAAATGCAGAGAACTGTGATCGTGGGCGCGTGAGTGAGCTACGCCCAAGTATCGAGGGGGAGAGAGAGAAGCGCGGCAGGGAGGTGGGAAGAAGAGGCACCCTCCGCTCATGTATTCCGTGATGATCGCGTTCCCTTCCGGTGTTCGTGTCACGGCCAGGATCATCAACACGTTTGGATGTCGGATATGGCTGCGCGGCGGTGATGAGCACACAGGCCTGAACGCCCTTCATTGAACTGTTGCCAGGCCAAGCATAGTACCTGAGAATTATGACCTCCTTTTCGAACATCGAGAAATCGCCCTTGTAGGTGTTCCTGTAGATGATCTTCACCGCCACCTCCGTGCCGTTCCACACTGCTCGCTTCACCTCGCCGAAATAGCCTATGGTGGCGCGATGTTGTAACACGTTGAGCAGCGTCATCAACGTTGAAGAGTAAACGCTAGCGTACCCTTGCCAATTGACTCGAACAAAACCAGCTCCGAGTGGTCGATCGTAACGATCTTGTCTCCGATGTCTTGGAAGCATCACCATACCAGAGCGTCAGCCTCAGAGCGGTAAGAGAGATTCCTTCCACCAATGCGAGGCGGGAAAGGGGGGGCGTATACTGTGTATGCCGCTGGAGGGCCGGAGCGCACGCTTGCGGCGCTGGTACGGGATGGAGGCGATGCGATCGAGTATCTCAGCGCGCGCTCCGTAGGAGGTGATGCCCAGCTCCTTCTTCAGCACCTCCATGTCCAGCTTCTGCAGCAATACGCTGCCCGTGATGTGATTTTTTGTAAAATTGATTTCTATGTGGGCCCAGAGAAGAAGAAGAAGTGTCAGCGCTTCGTCCTTGGATGAGCTCCCAGAGGGGTGGGTGTGCGTACTGTACTGGGGATAGCCCACGGATTCGATCCACTCCCCGACCTCTTTCGAAGTCCAGCTATTGACACCCTTGGCTTCGAGCTCCTCGAGCCTCTTCTCCCTCACCGCCTTGTTCAAAATGTCGATGAGGTCGTCGAAGCTGTACTCCTTCGCGATGTGGCCAGGCGTCCTGCGAGCGAAAAAAAAAGCCGGCCGGTCAATCACTGCTTCATCTGCGAACACCACACCTCACTTATATATCAATCGCACGGGTGAGTGCAGAGGGTGTGGTACCGGCCCTCGCCGTCCATGGCCTCGGGATCGGCTCCGTGCGCAAGCAGGAGCTCCACGCACTCCAACCAACCGCCCATCACGGCCGCGTGCAGGGGCGTGAGACACAGCTCGTTCGCCCTATTTACATCAGCGCCGCCTTGAAGACAGGTGACAAAGAGGAGGAATCAGCGTGTCGTGGGGAGATAACGCGAAGGTGGAGTGGCGAGGTGGTGCGGTGAGTTGTGGAAGCTGTGTGGTACCCTCGAGCAGTATTCGCATACACTCGACGTGCCCCTTGACCGTTGCCTTGTAGAGGGGGGTCTCCAGCCAGAGATCCACGCAGTTGGGGTCGGCCCCGTGGTCCAACAGCAGCTGCACGCATCCGATGTGGTTGTAGGCCGCTGCTTTCGACAGCGGAGTCTCCTCCCTGCACGCACACGTTTCAAAGGAGGTGAGGTTAAGGTCCAGGCGTGTGTGCGGCTTCGCGCGGTGGTGCTTGGTGGTCAGGCCCGTGCGTACCACTTGTTCTTGGTATCGATATCGGCGCCGGCGGCCAGCAGTAGCTGGAGGCACTCCTTGTGTCCCTTGCGCGCTGCTAGGGCGAGTGGGGTCCTGTGTTCGGACTCCTTGGAGTTGATATCGATGCCGTCGGCCTTGAGCAGGGCCTCCACACAACCCGCGTGCCCTTCGTACGACGCCTGCAGCCGATCATGATTGCAGGGTCAGCACGACCAAGCACCACACAGGACACACATTGTCTTGAGAGGTACCCAGTGCAGAGGGTTGCTGCCGAACGAGCGGACGTTGACGTCTTCGCCCTGGGCCAGAAGACGGGTGAGAAGAGCGGTCTGGCCTGTCTTGGCCGCCAGCAGCAAGGCCGACTGCTCGGGCGGGGCAGCGTGGGCGGCCATGCCCAGGGGCAGGCTGCGCGAGCGGCTGATGGAGGCGCCCGTCTGCAGCGCGGCGACTGCGTGACCGTGTGGGTGGGTTGGTCGGAGATGCGGGGATGGTACAGGACCTCCGATGCCAACCGCTGCCGCCTCGATCAGAGTTCCGCCCTCCGCCACGGGCAAGGTCTGTCGGCGGGCGCGACGTCGCCGTCGGCCGCGTGATGGCGAAGTCGTGCGATCGGGAGATGCTGCCGAAGTCGCCGTCTGTCCCTCGGCCCGCAGCGGAGGCGACAATTCGCCTTCATTCAGAACCTCCTTCCTTCGGCCATTTCCGTTTGCACCATTTCTGAAGCCGGTCGTGGCGGGGGAGGGCTTTCTCGACGTCGAGGCGGCCGTGTTTTCAGTAAATCGGTCTTGTGATCCTCGTCTTGGTGAATGTAGTGCCTTTTTCTCGGCATGCATCGGCCGATTCGAGCGATTGGATCTGTTTTGAAGAATTTTGGCTGTTTGTGGGATACGCCTTTCGTTGCTCGGGCAATCAGCAGATATATCTCTACCCGCCTTCTATTTTCGTTTAGATGGTACTCGATGATCCCAGAAGTGCTTGCGTCGCATTCGATGCTCTATGTACTGCCCCCTAAACCCCTAACGATACGTTTGCTTGTCTTCAGGTATCCGCAAACCTTGTGTCGCCTCTCAGCACAAATCCTTGATGATCTGGGCCTGCACAAGAAAATCATTTCTCGCAACCTACGCGATCGAAATTTCGCACTTTCTCTCGAAATTCGAGCCTTTCACAGAAAGTCAAGACTTTCTTTGATCTTGGTTCATCTCTTTCAATCGATCGCGCAAAGACGATGAACTGCCATTGTATGGAGAAGAAAGAGGGCAATGTGCTGTCAAAAAATTGAAATAAATATCACATTGCGAACTCGATTTACCACATTCTCCTCTTTCCGTTGACGATTCAGGCCTCCTTCCTCTTCCTGCTCGCGGCCTCCTCGGTGGCGGCCTTAATCTTGGCAGCCTCGGCGATGCCGTAGGACTTGACGTAGAACTCGGTGAAGAGGTAGACGAAGGAGATGCCGACGGTCTGGCCGAAGTAGACGGTGTTCATCGAGCCGCGGCACTCGTGGATGTTGAAGGCCCGGAGGAAGAGGAGGTGGGGCCAGGTGACGAAGAGATCGAAGAAGAACTGGACGATCTGCATCATCGTGAGGTACTGCTTCCACCAGACGGTGTAGCCGAGGGTGGTGATCATGTAGTAGTAGTACATGAAGACGTGGACGAGGCTGTTGGCGGCAGCGAGGGACCACTGGCCGGAAGTCTCGGTGTGGAGGAAGCCCCAGAAGAGGTAGGGCACGATGAAGTGGTGGTAGACGTGGACGAGGGTGAGCGGGCGCTTCTTGAGGACGAGGAGGACGGTGTCCAGCATCTCGTAGTACTTGGAGAAGTAGAAGACGGCGCACCAGAAGTTCATCGCTCCGCGATCGTGCACGATGGAGCCGGGCTCGATCGGTCCGGCCTTGCCGCAGTAGGCCGTGAGCAGGTCGCTGGACTGGTAGATGGGGATCAGGTTGTAGATGATACCCACCGCCATCGCCAAGCTGAGCAGGCAGAGGAAGAGGTTGTGAATGGCAGTCACGAGGTGGAGCTTCATCGGTCGCTGCACGACTTGCCTCAGGCCGAAAATTACCGCGAGGTAGATGAACGTGCCGGTGAGGGGGACGTAGAAGCTGTTCGCCGCACCGAGCTCATGGAAGGAGAAAGTGTTGATGTAGTTCTGGAGCGCGTAGAGAGAGTCCATTTTCGAGGAACGATTTTGCGATTAATGGCTGAGATGAAGGAAATGTGCCGGATGAACGAGATGAAGTGCGCAAAATGTGCGAGGGATGAGGGAAAGAAGAAAACGACACTCAATCGCAGAGGCAGAGATGAAGAGGGCGAGAGCGGGGCGACCCGAAAGGGAGACGGCAGCGACAAACAAGACCAACGTGCCGCAGCGACAGTCGCCAAATTAGCGTCCGCAAAAAATACCAAACGGAGCTCTGGTGGTTAATAAATAATGTTGTCCCGAAAAATTATAAAATAAATAATAAAAAAATAGTGTACACCTCACCTACGCGTCCTCTTCGTCCGCCTCGAGAAGCGCAAGCCGGCTGTAGTCAGCCGTGTTTGTGTTGTTCTCGCCTTGGAGCGTGTCGTCGGTGGTACGCCGGCGCGCTTGTCGGTTGCGCCACCACCCGCCGAGCGTCTCGCGCAGCTCACGGCCGGCACTCTCGCGGTCGCTGAGGAAGAAGAGCACCATGGTGCAAAAGACGACCACGCCCATGCCGCCGAACATCGCGCGCGGGCCGTAGGTCTGGTATACCCACCCGCCGACCGTGGCACCTACGAACCCGCCGAGCCCTGATACGATGATGTGTGAGTGAGCATAGCCGGTCTCAATGCAGTGGGCGATGAACCGGCACCATTGTAGAGGCCGGCGAAAACGGTCTGCGCAGTGGCCTCGAGGGAGCGAGGGGCGATGTTGGAAGTGTGTTGCACGCCGGCGGCCCACATGGCACCGAAAGTCAAGCCGTGCAGGAACTCGAGGGGCAGCACCCACCACGCTGAGGTCAGCATGGCGTAGCCCAGGGAGCGGACCACATAGGCAGCCTACGTGTGGAACACACACACACACACACGAAGCGACCGTGAGCATTCACACATTCACCGCTCGTGAGAACGACGCAAGCGTACCATGGCAGTCAAGATCAGAACGTGCACGCCCACAGCTTTGATGAGACGGCCGGCGAAGAAAAAGAACGGGATCTCGGTCGAGACAGTACAGGCCAGCGTGATACCCATGAGGAACTGGTCACCTACGAGGGAAGACGGAAGAAGTAGAAGCAAGGTTGAGATCGTTGCAACGATCACGATCAGAAACAGGAGGAAGAGTAAGGCATACCACCAAGATCTTGCAGAAACAGGAAGAGAAAGCTGCCGATGAGCGTTGCGCCCATGCCCATGATGAACACGGTGAACAGGTAGACGCAGACCTTGGGCGAAGATAGCAAAAGGCGAATCTCCTGCAGCAGAGTCCTGTCCGTAGCTACGGCAGCCTTGTCGCCCACCGCTCCAGTGGCATCGACATCAGCAGCCTCGAGTTCCAGCAGGTCGGTCTCCTTCTGGTGGTCCACGACGTGCACCACTTCTTCATCCAGTCCCTCGTTGGTCGGTGCTTGCCGCCCGCGCGTGGAGCCGATGGGCTCCTTGTTCTTGCTCTTCTCTGGGATGGGCACGTCCGAGAAGTAGAGGGCGAGCACGAAGCACAGCATGCCCAGGAAGTAGCCGTAGATGTTCCACGTCCACATCGAGGACGAAGATGGGTTGCCATCGAGGGACAGCACGTAGCCTAGGATTAACGCCACGATGCCCCACGCCACTGCACCCCACAGCCTTGGCCCAAAGCAGTAAAAATAATTATTTGATTTATAATATATATAATTAGCGATTTAATCAAATTGGAGATGAGGAAGCACCTGTGGCGTCCAAATTCGTGCTTGTTGTGAGGGCCGAGGTAGTAGAGGGCGCACGTGTTGATGAGGGGCGAGATGGGCGACGTGCACATCACATTAATCGACATAATCGCTAAGATTACGAAGAAGATGACACCATTTGGCGCGCCTGAGAGCCACTCGGTGATGAAGGACAGCGAGACGATGAGGAAGACCGACGCCGGCGCGAGGCAGTTGATGATGGCCTTGTGTCGTCTCGTTCGATCTGCCAGCAAACCCCAACACGGCCCAGCCACGAACGAGAGGAACGGCAAGAAGCCAGCGATCATCCCGATCTGCCATTTGGCCAGTCCCTTTGATTCGTAGAAGAGAGGAAGGAACGGGTTGATGCACGCCATCGTGCCCGAGTTGATGAAGAAGAAGATTCCCGGCACGAATGGGAAGAGGCCGTGGCCCATTAACACCGATCGTGCCGTGATCGGTGCCGTGCCCGGGCGATTATCTCCATTGCTCATCTTCAGCCAAGCAATGGAGCTCGGCCTGGTGCAACTCAAAAGTGTTTTTCTTTTCTCGTGCTGGAGGCGAGCACGAGCCAACGCGTGAACCTAGAAGAACGAGCGAATGCTGGCAACCGCCTCGTGATCGACTTCATGCTGCAGCCACTCGTCGTCCTTCTCTTCCCACTCGGCGCCTTCTTCCTCCTCTTCCTCTTCCTCCTCCAGCGTCCTGCCGTTGGCCACGTCGACGCCTCTCTTGACGAACTCGTTCCTCAGGATGTCCGGCACGGAGAGCTCGACCACCTGCTCGTCTCCAACGTTGTCGTTGTTTGCCTGCTGGGCCTCCTCGCGGCCCACAGCCTGAGCACTTCTCGCATCGCGCACCACGCAGGGCTGCAAGGCATTGGCTGGCGCGGGGGGCGCGACGGGCGGTTGGGGCACATTCGCCGGTCTGAAACGTTGCGCCCAGGCGGCGCTCCTCTCCATCAACTCGTTCGTGAATGGAAGTTTCACAGCCGGGACGTCAGGCACGGGCTGCGCCCATCAATCACTAAGTCAGTTCGGGTGCAGACCAAAAGAAAGAAACGACGGCAAACGAGACAAGGAGAGGCGCACAGGGGGGATCGGTAGCAAGCAGCATCCCGCGGGCTGCTGGGCACCATCAGGGGCGGTGAGAGCGCGGCCTGCGTCCCTGTTGTTGTTGGGCGCGTCGACAGTGGTCGGGCGGGGCGGCACGGCGAGGTCGAATTCCGGCAGCTGGTCGATTGCTGCGTGGGATACCACCTCGGGCGCGGGAAATGGCACAACGCCGCCGCCCGCAGCAGTAGCCTCGGCAGTAGGGAAGGCCTGAGCGGAGGGCGACGCGACCAAGTCGCTGGTCGCACCAACAGCCTGACGCGAGCCGTTGTTGAGGGGAGCCCTCACGATCTTGGAGGGGAAGTACTTGTCGTCGGCAAACTCGGGCAGCGGCAAATCCTCATCAATCTCGTCATCTTCGCTCCGCTCTTGCTTGTCGACGAAAGCGATGTCCTGGGCGACCATGGAGAGACCGGTCAGGTTGCGCGGAGCCCGCAGCCGGATAGGCGCCATCACGGGGTGGTGGCGCAGGTCGACCATCGGAACAACGTTCATATCCTGTTTACACGTAAAGTGTAAGTTGGCTGCTTGGGTGTGCCCCAAGAAAGAACTAAGTGGCTTGGCTGACTACGAACCCAAGCGACATCGCCGGAGATGGTGGCAGGGGCGGCGCCCAGCTTCTGGTCGAGGCTGAGCTGCCGCGACTTGAGGGGCGCGGCAGCGCGGCGGTTTTGGTGGTCGCCAGGGCTGAAGACGAGCAGGTCGCTCACAGACGTCAGGCCGTGCAGCCTCGCCGCGTCCACCTTCACGTCGTCCGACCTCAGGTTAGATTTCTGATGACATCACCGCCACGTGTGCTCGAGGTTAGTCCAGTCGCTTGCACCACCGCACACGTGTAGCTGGCCGGTATGCGCTGATTCGAGTGGAGGGTGAAGTACCTTGGTCGGCTGTTGTTCCTTGTCGAAGCAAAGACCGACCGCGTCGTCCAGCGAGAAGGGGTCGGTCGACTTGAGCGACAGGTGGGGCAGCCCGGTCACGACCGACTTTTTGGTGCCGAACGCGTTGTCGCCAGGCGTGACCGGGGAGCTGACGTGGCTGCTCCTGAAGAGGACTTCATGCTGCGGCAGCTGCGTCGGGGCAGGATAGCGACTGGGCGACCTGTGCACAGGCCAGAAATCGCGGTTTTGAGGCGGCCAAGGCAGGGCAAGACAAGGAAGAAGAAGAAACGCATACGTGACGACGGTGGCCTTGTTGTAGCGCTCCTGGGCAAGGCCATGCAGGCGGCCGCGGCATGAGTCCAGGCGCACGCCGACGGCGTCGACCTTCTGCTTCTCCTCTTCAACACGGCCACTGATCTGGGACAGCACCTGCAAGCAACACCCAAGGAGGTGAGCCTCACACCTGCTTGCCTGCCAAAGAACACAGCACGACCAAGGGGGGGGGTGGTACCTGATTAACCGTTGCCTCCAGCTGAGATAGCGTGGACAGAAGCTCGCCCAGTGATTCATGACCGCCGAAATCGGTCATCACGATGGGCTGTGCCAAAAAACGATGCATTTCTTTTACGTTCGATCGATGCGTGGATCTTATCAAGATGAATGAATGCGAGGGCCACGAAATAGAACACGAAAAAGAGGAGGCCAAGTTCGCGGAAGAGTTCTGTTGAGTTTCTGTCGACGCAGAAAAGAAAATCAAAAAATAATTTTGCTATGGACGAAGGGGAGGCGCCGCCAAGGCGGTGGCCCTGCGTGATCCTGCTGCCCACCGGCGAAGGGCACCAGAAGGAGGCCAAGGTGTTCCCCTTGGCCAAGGCCCCCACGTTCGACCGCCTGCTGGCCGAATCCTCGAACCGATTCGCGCGAGAGATCACGCGCATCTTTGTCGTCTTGCCCGAGCACCACGTCACCGAGCTGAACAGCGCCAACTACGTCGACGTATGCACTCGTCTGCCGCCTCGTTGTGTGCTCTACGTATCATGCGGTGAACCATTCCATCAAAACGTACGCCCTGTACCAACAGCACACCATCAGCTCATGCACTCATGCGCTCCACGTTCTCCTATACGTTTTCCCATCTGCAGCCGAGCAGTGAGAGTGGGCAGGCGGCGGTCGCGCCGCCACCAACTGAGCTGCAGCCGAGGGCTGATGAGGTTGCGCAGGAGATGGACGTGACCACCGAGGTGGCGGTCGCTGGCGGTGACGAGCTCAGGCCCGTTGTCGAGAAGCAGAAAGAAGAGGAATCAGAAAGCGAAGAGAAGGAAGATGGTCAGAATGAAGAGGAACCGCGCGAGGCACATCACCTGCTCGTGATGGCGAGGAAGAACGAGAGGGCGAGAGCGAAGAAGACGCGGCCGAATTCGAGGGATCTCGAACTGCAGCGGCAGCAGAAGCGGGCGAGCCGGGACTTCCGCGAGGACGAGTTCCTGTCCCAGCTTCGCCGGGTGCGGCTGTCCGCGCCGCAGGTCAAGACCGTCAACTGGAGCAACATGGCCATGTCCACGTACGACACACACACGACACACACCGCACGCTTCCAGTTGACGCGTGTCGTGCGTGCAGAATGCCAGATTGGCATCAGAACTGGACGGCCATCGAGGAGGTCCAGATGCACCACAACAACTTCACCTCGTTCCCGATGAAGATCGTCGACGAGCCCAACTTTCGGCACATCAAGATCCTCAACCTGTCCTACAACCGCATTCCGCGCCTGCCCGACGAATTCCTCCTCCTCCAGGGCCTCACCTCGCTCAACCTCACCTGCAACAAGCTCACGTCGTGCTACCCGGCCCTGCTCCTGCCGTCGCTGACCGAGCTCGACCTGTCCGAGAACTGTCTCAGCGTCATCACCCGCCGCGACATTCTGCACCCGCAATCCAGCCACAACAACGCTGTGGACGATGACGGGGCATCATCGCCGCAGGTCGCCGCGCACGCGCTGACGTCGCTCTCGCTCAATCTCAACCTGCTGGAGTCGCTTCCGGTCGAGATGGAGCACCTGTCCTCCCTGCGCTACCTCTACGTCAAGGACAACCCGTTCAAGCCGCCGCTGCACAAGCTCAACAACGCCGGCAACCAGGCCATCATGCTCCACTTCCTGGCCGACCTGCTCAGCGGTGCGTGTAACCATAATAGGCCCATGTAGCAGCGCTGCAGCTCCGCTGACCCAAACGTCGTCGCGTGGTACCACAGAGTCGCCCGGGTCGCCGTCGGCCAATCGCAATCGAACGCTGTCGGGCAGCTTCAGCGCCCGAGAGGCCATCGCAGCCGGCGGTCTCGCCATCATTCCGATCGAAGAGCTCGCATTGGGTAAATGATGATCGCTTGCTTGCTTGCGGGCCCGCCCATATCATTTCAGCGGCCCCTGGGCGGTCGGGGCTCTCATACGTGAATCGGCTGCTGATTGGCGGTGATTGACCCACAGATGTGTCGGCGTCGCCGCTGGGTCGCGGAGCGCACGGAGTGGTGTGGCGTGGCACCTACCAGGGCCAGACAGTGGCCGTGAAGAATGTCAGCTCAATCGCCAAGTTCTGTCAGGAGGTCGGCATCTTGAGGTATCAGCGCGTGCCACATTCCTGTCGTGTGGCGTCTCACATTGTATCGTGTGTGATATGGCGTCTCACAATCTTGCCAACACACACACGCACACGCACACACGCACACAGTTCTCTCAAGCTCAAGTATTGTATCAAGTACTATGGGGTCTGCGTGGTGTCTGGCATCACACTCGTGGTCATGGTACGATTTGGCTCGTCGCGCTCCGCCTTGGCGTTGTGTCTGTGTCGCTCAGCCGGCTAATAGTGCTCCGCAGGAGTATGCGCCGATGGCGGATCTGGGCAAGGTGCTCAAGGACCTGCGACACAATCTGACGCTGGAGGAAAAAGTGCGGATCGCGCTCAAGGTGGCCAAGGGCATGGAGGAACTGCACCGCGCAGGCATTCTCCATTGCGACTTGAAGTGTAAAAATATTCTTGTACGTCGCACACCCACCGTACGCACCGTACGCACCGCGCCGCGCCGCACTCGCCAACATCGCAATGCGGTGCCGTGCAGGTATTCGAGACGAACCCGTGGAAGATCAAGCTGAACGACTTTGGCCTGAGCACGCAGTACAAGGTCGCTCACTGCGCCAAGGCTCCCTCGAGCGATGCCACGATGTACTTCCCGTGCACCGCTCCCGAAGGTAAGCTCAAACGTTTCACCACCGGCAGCTGATTTTTCGAGCTCACGCGTATCGTGTCGTCACGTGTGTCATGTGCGTGTGCCACGTGGGTGTCGTAAAGTGTTGGAGAATCAGCCGTTTAGTATGAAGTCGGACGTGTACAGCTACGCGATGTTCCTATACGAGCTCTTCACCGGGCGCAAGCCCTTCAAGGGCCTCACCATCGACGAGATCGTGCGGCTGGTGACCAAGGGCAGCCGCCCGCCGCTCGCTCACCTCGACAAATCGTCGCAGCGCCCCTCTACGCCCGCAGCCGCCGCCTCCAGCGATCCACCAGCATCACCGATCGCGTCATCATCATCGCCATCATCAGCCCCTTCTTCACCACCGGAAGAATCGAAGAAGCCGTCGCCCGAGCAACTTCACCTCGCCCTCCCGGCTCCGTCGCCCATCAGCCCGGCCTCGACTGCACCGCAGAGCACGTCACCGCGAAGCCGCTCGCCCGGGCCGTTGTATTCATCATCGTCGTCGTCGACGACGGGTCGCGTGCTGCAGCCGGCCGAGGTCAAGGAGATGCTGCTGCGGGCGCACAAAGTAGCGCGCAGGAAGAAGGACTTCGTGGGCAAACACGAAATGGAGGGCCTCCTCACCATACTGGCCGACTTTACCCACCAACGTTCGTCGTCGTCATCTTCTTCTTCATCGTCATCGTCATCATCGGCGCCATCTTCCTTGCCGCCCGCTTCATTGTCGGCTTCGTCGTCTTCGATCTCGCCCATCACCGAATCGGTTCTGGAGAAGATGATGGAGCGGGCGCAGGCCATGATCCACCACCACTCCGACTCGCACTTCCCGCTCTCGCCCAACTATGTACGCCGTCGTGTCGTGTCGTGTCGTGTCGTCACGATGCTCATTATTGATGTGCGTGCGCAGGCGGAAGCGGATGAAGAGCAGGAAGAGGGCGAACAGGCGTTGGAGCAGTCGCCCGACGAAATCGCAGAGAGCGAGGCCAGACAACACATCCTCCGCAAGATCCGCCGCATCATCGAAAAGTGCTGGAGCGGCCGACCACACCAACGGTACACCGCACACGCACCATCGCACAGCACACGCACACACGCACACGCACGGCTCACATGTTGGTGCTTCGTCGGCGCTGGAAGGCCGTCGTTTTCGGAGATCGTGTCGAAGGTGTCGCAGATCTACTGGAAGGGGAGCAAGGGGACTCGGTCGCGCACCGGCTGGATCTCGGGCAACGAGCGGCTCACCTTCAGCCTCCTCTGCAAGAAGGCCAACGGCGCCGCCACCCGCCAGGCCCTCGTCCACAGCAACAACAACACCTCCACCATCAACAAGGACCAACCTTAGCTTGACACACATCATTACTTACGAACACACGACACACACACGACACACACACACGACACACACGGGGCAAAAGGATTCGAAGCCGTTGCGTGTTGGACCGACTTGAAGGTAGATGGTGAGTGGATGATGGTTGTGTGTGTGTGTGTGTGATGGGGTTTACATGAATTCGTCTTCGTAGTCTTCGCTGACTTCGGCGTTGGAGGTGGCGAGGTCGGTGTGCCTGTGGAGATCGGAATAGGTTCGGACCTCCTCGTCCCTCTTCGTCTTCTCGCGATTCTCCCGCTCCTCCTTGGCCTTCTGCTTCTTGGCCGCCGTGCTCTCGTTCCTCATCTCCCTCATCCTGTCATCGTAGATCGCTGCACAACACCACCACCATCAACACCATCAACCATCATCAACATCAACATCGACATCATCGTCATCATCAACGTCTAGCGAGGTAGGAACGCGTACCCTGGAGGTTGACCTGCTTCTCCTCCTTGGTCTTGTTGAGACGGTTCAGAATGGCGTTGAGCTTGGCCACCTTGACGGTCTTGACCAGCTTGTCGTTCTTGAAGCCGACCTGGCCGACGTCCATGCCCTGCGTCTTCTTGAGGTTGGAGTGGGGCGTGTAGATGACCGGCACGTTGGGCAGCTTGCAGCCTGTGGTGTGTGTTGCAGTTAGAAAAGATGAGGCAAAGAAGAAGAAAGTAGAAGTAGTAGTAGTAGAAGGAGGAGAAGAGGGACGAACCCTGGATGGAGTTGGCCTTGACGAGCTGCACGCAGTCTTCGAGGACGCCCTCGGGGATCTCCTCCCACGACTCGCCTCGCGGGAGCCGCAAGTAGACGTGGGCAGACGAGAGGTTGTCAACGTGGAACCTGCGTGCGAGTCGGTGGCATCATCAGGCAGCAGCATGGTTGGAGATGAGATGCTCATAACATTACAACGTTCGGAATGTAGAAAAATGTTTGTACCAGATGTCCTCGGGGAGGCCGTATCGAATCAATTCTTCATTCTCGTACTTGTCCTTGCCCATGTAAATGAGGTACTTGGGGTCTACAGCCAGAATTCGGATTAAAATGTAAACATTTATAGTGGATTAAAGAGTAAGGTCGGGCAAGCCTTAACAAGTTCCCGTACCACGAGGCGTGAAGTAGAGCGGCATCTTCTGAAGAGGTAGGAAAAGAAAAATCAATTGTATCTATCTCGCTTCGTGTCCGAAGGTGGATTTGATCTGCACTTCGCGGCGCCGGTTTCTTTTTCTTTTCCTAACGGAAACAAAAAAATTAAATCTATTTACTCCATAAAGGACGAAAACTCGCCAACAGATTACTACAGATCAAGAGCCGGATGGAGCGTGGCAGCAAGTCCGCTTGGGCTCCCCTTGTAGATGAGGCCACCGGTACCCTTTCATCTGATCTCACCACACTTTTTTAATCACAACAAAGGTAAAGTTTGAAGAACTGACAGCTTCCTCACTCACCACCACTGCCCGCAGGCAAGGCCTACTGTGGCCACGTGCAGACGAGGTACGCGACGCGGCCGAACCGTCGCTTTTCGTTCTTTTTATGGTCCGGTCTGTATTGGGCGGGCAAGCTGCTCACCTGGCCCGCCGAGAAGACCGTCGAGACCTACCTTTACATCTTCAACCGCGACATCAAACCAGGTTTGCACACGCACACGCACCACCGTACACGCACCACCGCACACGCACCTCCGCACACACGATGCATGGCGCACCGCACACGCACACGCTCGTCCTAAGCTTGCGTACTCAGGCAGGTATGAACAGTGGTCCACCGTTCGCGGGGAGAAGATCCACCGCGCGCTGCTCCTGGTGGTGATGGTACTGTTGGGCACCATTGCCGTCCTACTCTTCCCCTTCGGTGCGAACAGAACCCCGTCCCTCCTACAGCAGCGTGCCACACACACACCACACACCACACACCACACACACACACCACACACCACACACACCACACACACCACACACACACACGACACCAATGGTGCACAACACGAGAACGAATGTGGGCAGGTCTGACATTTGGGGACTTGTGGTGAACGTTCACCGCAACAGGCGTGTTGCTGCGATTCTTGGCGGTGTCGTTGGGCACGCACGACTTCCTCTTCGTACGACCGAACAACCAAGCAGTCGACCCCGCGTACTCATCCCCAGTGCCATTACTCAGCACTTCGACGTCATACCAACCACCAGTGTGTCGTGTGTGTGTGTGTGTGTCGTGTGCGGTGTGTCGCATCAGACCATTCCCGGCTGGCAGTCGCGTGCAAGTGACTCTGCGCACGCAGAACTTGGGCTTTCTGCCCCACCTCAGCTCGGCCAACAACCTCGCCAATCCGACGAAGCGTGTCAAGTACCTCCTGCAGGAACTCCAACTCGGTTCACACCCACCGCCCTCCGCCGCACCCACATCATCGCACGCGCAACACGTACCACCGCACACACCACCGCACACACCACCGCACACACCACCGCACACACGGCACACACGAACCTGATAGTCCTCTGGTGGTGACATGGCGAGAGCAGGCAGGGACGACGTGCTATGTTTCCAGGAGTGCTTCGACTTGGCCGCCACGAAGGCCATCATCCGGGGTCTCAACCGGGAGCCGAAGCAGGGCCTGAGCTCCGGCCCGAGGCTAGCGAGACACGACTCGGCCGGCGAGGCCCAAGACATGCTGCGCCGGAGCCACCCCTCGGACGAAGACGACCTCGAAGGCGGTCCCACCGTCTTAAAAAAAGGTGCGTGTGCGTGTGCGTGTGTGCGTGTGCGGTGGTGCGTGTGCGGAGCTGACGCTCGAAACAGAGAAGCCGATCTATCCATGGATCGTGGCGGACTGCGATCCGCGTTCGTACCGTCTCAACTCGGGGCAGGTCATTGCCAGCCGCTACCCGCTTGCCAACCCCGAATTCGTGCGCTACACCGATCGAGTCGGCGAGGACAAGATGGCGGGCAAGGGCGTGCTCGGGTGTACTGGTGCGAAGCCTGAAGCTGTGTGTGGTGTGTGTGTGTGTGTGTGGTGTTTTGTGGGAAAGGTCTGCTGACTCGTAGTGTGGGCGCAGTGATCTTGGGAACGACCGCCGATGGCCGCAGTCTCAAGCTGACCATCTTCACAACGCATCTGCAAGCGGGCAGCGCCCCTCCCAAAGGTGCATTAGCCATTTCTTTTAACACACAACATACAACACACAACACACACCGCACACGAACACTAACGCGGTCCTCCAAAAGATACGATCCACCTGCAGCAGATCAGGACAGCCGCGAAGTTCGTGCGATACTACAACCACAAGCACATCGACGAGCGCCAGGACGTGTGGGTCGGCGCCGTACTCATGGGCGACTTCAACATCGCGCCGCTCAATGGTACGCACCGGTGTGTCACGTCACGCGCACCAACCGCCGCTGGCCGACGCTTTAGGTCCGAGAAGTCGTTTTTTTAGCTCCGAGCGCTCATCGCTGGCTTGGCAGGTGACCCCGAGTGGTGGGGCAGTGGGAAGCTCACGTGGGATCGGGAGTGGGCGGCCATGAACCAGGCCTTCCACGCCCACCACATGAAGAACTTGTTCTACGAGGTACGCACCCTCACACACACCGTAGCCGCACGTCTGACACACGCACACGCACACGCGCCACCGCACACGCACACGCACACGCGCCACCGCACACGCACACGACACGACACGACACGCACACGCGCCACCGCACACGCAGGATACGGAAGACGGTGAGGTGCGCACGCGCAACCGAGACCTGTTCCTTCGGTTCCAGGACGTGTTTGCCGACCGGCTGCGGACCCTGGTCGACGAGATCAAAGAGGTGCGCGCCTCGGCCGCTGGCGCCGACCAAGACGGGGAGGCCCAGGCGGGCACCCGATTGCGCATCGACGCCATCGGGCTCACCAATCGGATCACGGCCTGGCTCGGCCGGCGGGAGGAGGCGAGGAGCGCCCGAGCGCGCGCCCGGGCCGCAGCGGCGTCGGACCAGCAGCGCAAGGGCAAAGGTAAGAAGAAAAAGGAAAAGAAGAAGGAAGGAAAGAAAAAGCGGGTGAAGCAGGCCGAAGTGTTGGTGCAGACCAGCGACATCGAGGTGGTGGACGACGACGACGAAGATGAAGGTGGAGACAGAGACGGAGACGACAGCGACAGCGACGATGGAGAGGCGGAGGTGGCGGAGCTGAGGGACATGCTGACGCGCGAGCTGGTGCGCCAGGCGCGCGCTGTGACGGGCTGGCGGCGGACCGACCAGTGGTTCGCCGAGGAGCGGCCGCACCAGCACCGCGAAGGAGCCGCCGACGAGGCTGAGGCCGAGGCACAGCCGCTGGAGGCAATGGTGGAGCTGCTGCGGCAGCTGCGGGCCATCCCGAGTGACCCCGTCGTGGAGCTGTTCGCCCACGAGCGGCGGCTCGCTCTGCTGCGCCGGGCCGAGGGCGGCCACGACCAGGAGCGCGGCAAATGGGGCCGGCCCAAGCTGCGCTGCGATCCGCGCGTCGAGTACGTCATCCCCGGCACCTCCATCGACAAGGACCACTACGAGGTATCAGCGATCACTGTGTGTCGTGTGTGTCGTGTGTGTCGTTTGAGGCTGATGACACATACACACATACATGTGCAACAGGGGAAGTTTCCGGACGAGGTGGACTTCAACGACATCGACCACGTGTGGTCGCTGGAGAGGTTCCGGGGCGCCGAGCCCCGGATGGAGCGCGTGCGGACGCGCTTGGTCGAGTACCACCCCTTCTTCTACACCGACCACCTCGGCAAACGCCTCGAATTCCAGGTCGTGCTCCAGGACTGACTTCGATCGAATATTCATCCGTCTTCGACCGAAACTTAATAAATCTGCATTCACTCGTGAAAGAGAGAGATGAATTTGGGGGGGGGTGTTGGGGTCCAGGGGAACCTGCCGGAGCAGATGGACTATGAGAAGTACACACGCCCGTCGCCCTCTTCTGTCATTTATATATTTATTTTGCTTTTATTATCATTTTACTTATGTTATTTGTTTGTCGTCGATGCCGCGGATCCCGGCCTCGCGGCCAGGCGATTTGTTGATGAAGCAGAGTTTACTCTCTGCGTTTGAGTTTGCTCGACCCCGAGTATCTTGAGAAGAGTAGCGACGACGATGCCCGTTCGATCCTTGCCTGCGTGGCAGTGGATGAGGACGGGGAACTTGATGTTGGCGGCGTCCTTCTTCTCGAAGAGCTTCATCGCGTCAGCGAGCCACTCGCGGACCTCGGCGGTGTTCGTGTCGTATTTGTCGATCTTGTTGGGATGGAGAATCCAATCCATGCACGAACACGAGCGTATGGCGATGATTTATTAACATTACTTGCTTCCGAAAGAGAGTCATCGAATAACGGAGCTCTTAGTCGAGCCCGAGGGCATTGAGCATCTTGGCCTTGGCCGCCGTCACTGACTCCGGCATGCGAGTATCCACGCGCGACACGCTGGCCAGATCGAAGAAGATCACCCGTCGCCACTGCTGCCTCAGCCCCAGCCTTCCAACGTGGCGCCAGGCGAGGTCGTCGTGACAGTAGCCGCTGGAGGCCATCCTGTCGATCGCTTCCGGCACCTGCTGCTTGGCCTTGTTCGAGAGCGGCTGCTGAACGGCGCGCGCGTAGGGCATGACCAGCGCAGGCTCACCCGCCAGAGTGGCGACGCGCACGCCTTTGACTCCCCAGGCCGCGCACCAGACTTCGGCCTCTGCCTTCAGACGCTTTGTCTGGTCTGCTACGGAGGCTCTTTTGCAGAACTTGATGGCGCAGCCGGTCCCGCTGGTCGTGCAGGCCCGCCAGGCCCTCCCGTCGGCACCTCCGCGAAGATCCCGCAGCAGGAAGAACCTTGTGGCGCGCCTGGTTGGCATGTCGGCATCGTTGACGTCCTGGATGGTTGCCGGGACTCGAGCCCAGAACCACTGTGTCTGGTCCATGCAAACGCGAACGCTGGATGGTAGCACAAGTACAGGAGTGCACGGGGACTTGGACATCTTGTAGACGATGCTTGCCAGCAGGGCTGAGAGCTCGGGTCCGGCCTGCGCCGAGTCATACACCTTGGTGCCGTGCAGCACACGCGGTGATTCGTCCACCTCGACCGGCCCATCGTCATCGTCCGATTGGGTGAACGTCATGTTCAGATCGTCTTGCTCATCGGTGTTCTCGTCGTCGTCGCTGTCGTCGCTGTCGTCGTCGTCTCTCACGCTGTCGATGACGTCCTCCTTCCTGGCATCCCTGAGGTTTTCGATGGCGGCGCAAGTGTCGGCGGCGGCGTAGTGGTCACTCTCCTTGAACCAGTAGAATCTCCACTCGGTGTAGGTCGTCACAATCCCGAGCACGTGCTTGACACCGAAATAGGTCTTGATGCAGCGCATGTAGTCGAATATCTGCCCGTGCACGCGCATGTGGTCCATGATCGTCAGGCTTGGTCTCTTCACCTCGACCACGCCGACGGGGACGCCGCTAGCGGTCAAGACCCAGATGTCAGGCTGCAACTTGGTCAGGCCCAACTCAACGGCAAAGTTGATGGTTCCTGATGGAAGACCGGCGAGGTTGATCGCATCCATCAGGACCTGGATGACCCACATTTGCACCTCGGCCGCACTCGCGGGCCCCCAATGGGTCAATTGGCCGGAGTCGAATGCTGTCCAGATCGTCGAGGCAGTTGTCGACTCGCGCAGGGGCAAGTCTTTCAGCGTCAGATGCACTTGCTCGATCAGGATTGCTTCGTGGTGATCTTGACTCACCGACGCCTCTGCGGTCGAGGCTTGACGTTGTCCCAAAGGGGGCAGGCCGAGATCGACAAACCGCCCTAGCACCAAGAAATACGTTGTTCAAGAGAGATTAAATTCATCTTCACGCCAAAATGAAACAGAACATACTTTGTCTCCGTTGGGCTTCCATCCTCTCTTGCTCCAATTCCTGATTTCTCAGCTGCAATTTCGCGGATCTTAGCCACTAGGGCTTCCATGTCAAACCGTCTTGCTGAGCCATCTCTGTGCTTGTGCGTTTCTTTTGCAGATTGCCGCGCACAAGCCCCAATGCTTTTGGCGGGAAGCACCCGCATTCTGAATTCTTCACATGTTTGTCATTTCCGGACCAGCTGTCGCCCACGAGCGGCGGCTCGCATTGGGGCGGGGTGAGGGCGGCCAGGAGCAAGTGGGGGAATGGAGCCGGCCTAAGCTGCGGGGCCGGCCCAAGCTGCGCTGCGATCCGCGCGTCGAATACGTCATCCCCGGCACCTCCATCGACAAGGACCACTACGAGGTATCAGCGATCACTGTGTGTCGTGTGTGTCGTGTGTGTCGTTTGAGGCTGATGACACACACACACATGTGCAACTCGCACAGGGGAAGTTTCCGGACGAGGTGGGCTTCAACGACATCGACCACGTGTGGTCGCTGGAGAAGTTCCGGGGCGCCGAGCCCCGGATGGAGCGCGTGAGGACGCACCTGGTCGATTACCACCCCTCGAATTCCAGGTCGTGCTCCAGGACCGAAGATGAATCCGTATTCGACGCATTCAATCGTGAAACAGAGCGATGAATGATGGGGGGGGGTGAGGGGCGGGGGCGCGTTAGGCCTGAAGTTCGGCGAGCCACTTGCCGATGATGCGGGCCTCGTGGTTGCGCGCCTCCACCACGGAGGGCGGGTCGCGAGGGTCGCTGCTGCGCAGGTCCAGGTGATGCGCGCCATCCTGCATTCATGTGCGTGTGCGGTGGTGCGTGTTGTGTGTTCCATACGAGTACAAGGTGAGCTTAGCGTCGCGTCGTGTCGTGTCGTAACGTAACGTAACGCGTCATTCGCGTACCTTGATGATTATCGCGATCAGCGAGTCGGAGAGGGACTCGAGGAATCCGCCGCCGTGCCACGGGTCCAGCAGGCCGTTCGAGAAAATGATGCGGCTCGCATACCGAATGTTCTCTCCTGCATTCCATGTGCGAGTGCGGTGTGTGTCGTGCGTGCGTGCGTTAGTACACGATAGACACGATAGACCACTTGAAAAGTGGTGAACGCAGCACACACACACGTACCGCCGGTGTAGGTCTTGAGCCAGGTGGGGCGCGGGGTGATGCCCCAGGTGCGCTGGCAGTGGGCGTTGAGGTCGGCCAGCGTCCAGTCGCGCGGCGGGAACATGTCGGTCACGTTGTTGGTGTTGGGGTAGTAGACGATCTCCCCGCAGGCCTGGTAGTCCCATGACTGACCCGCCGGGCCGGTGCCGCAGCCGGTCTGGTCAGCGCACTCCACAAACTCGTCCCAAATGTTGAAGCACTGCAGCGGGCCTGCATCAAATTGATAAAAAATTGAATTAATAAAAATAATAAAATAATAACTACAAATGGAATAAATAATTAAAAATAAATTAATTCATGGAAAAATTAAAAAAAAGTACTGCTGCTGTTGTAGTAGAGGCCAGCGGCTTGGGCGAGGCCGCGCAGGACGTCGTCGGTGTTGTTGAGCATCAGGTGGCAGGCCACCTTGATGGGGTAGGCCGGCAGCGGGGCCATGAAGCCCGTCGGGTACGGATAGTCCATCTACGACAACCGCACACGCACACTCAATCAGACGGTGTGTGTCGTGTGTGTCGTGTGTGTTGGTATACCATGGCCATGTTACCGAAGGCGTTGACGACCCAGAGAATGAGGTGCTCGACCTCGTGTGGCAGGACGTTCTTGCAGAGCGAGAACTGCTTGGCGATGGCGGCCAGACCGCTGGGCGTCTGCGCCAGCTGGAGCATCTTGGCGAAGGCCTGCTGGACCAGCCCGGGGCACCGCTCGTCCGCCGCCCGGAAATCGTTCGTGACCGTCTCGAAGTAGCCCGGCTGTGCGTGTGCGATCGTGCGTCGTGTCGTGTCGTGTTGTGTGCGGTAAAGTGTGAAGGAATGTGAGTTATTTGTGACATGGGTAATGGGAAGGTGTGGTGGCTTACCGGCCGCTTGCTGTCGGGGCCGGTGGTGGCGGAGGACACGTTGGTGCTCCAGAGAATGGGCGCCGAGGCCGCGAGCGCACCGTCGACCACCTGCGGGTACTTCATCCTGAACCAAGCGCTGAGCATGCCTCCATAGGAACCTCCAAACGCGATCACAGGCGAGTGCGAAGCACCTACACCACACGCAGCCCATACGTCAGTCGACCTGTGCGTGTGCGGTCGTGCGTGTGTCGTGTGTGTCGTGCGTGTCGTGCAGAAACGGGTGTGCGAAAGAATACCGGGCAGGGTGGACTTGAGGTGCTCGATGAGCGTGGCGTAGTCGGCGAGGGCCTGCTCGACGGAGAGATAGCCGATGTGCTCCTTCGAGTACGAGTCGGGGCCGCCCGACCCGAACGGGTACGTCTTGCCGTAGTACCGGTGCTCGCCAAACACCACCTGCGGCACACGCACACACCACACGCGCACCGCACACACGCACACGGTCGGTGAGACACCAGAGGTGAGTCGATGCGCGTGCGGGCAGGCGTACCAGCGCGCCGTAGGACTTGGCCAGCTCGAACACGAAGCCGGAGTTGTCCCAGAACGCGGTGATGTCGCCCTCGTTGCCCGTGTAGAAGAAGATGGGGCCGCGACGCAGCTCCCCGCCATGATTGGCACTCGACCTGTAAAAAAAATGCAAATAAATAAATAATACAAAAAGAAGATTTCTAAGACATAAACAAAACTAATGAATGGTAGAGTGCATTTAAAAATAAATATAAATAAATAAAATATTACCAGTAGTTGGAGAAGGTGAGGTAGCGCTGACGGAAGGTGGCGGGCTGGGTCTCGATGTTGAAGTGGTCGATGGTCTGATCGAACCAGTTCTCGGTCGGGGTAGGAATGCCAGCAACCGCAACGCCCGAGAAGAAGACCAGCACCACCGCGAGGGCCGCGCCCAAGATCGGGGTCACTGAAGCCTTCATCTTCATCTTTCGTCGAGGCAATGGAAATGTCGTATTATTGTTCGCACATAACCACAACGTGGCTGCTGACGTCATCCACCACCAACGGCCGAGCCAGGTGGTCAGATGGAGATGACGGCCTGCTTGCAGCCGAGGGGACGAGGTCCGGTGTAGGCATCGCAGATCGTCTGCAGCGGGTGGTCGGGTCCGCCGACGTAGGTCTTGCCGTTGATGATCGTCGTCGGCGTCTCCTGCATTGCAGTGAAAGAGCGGTGAGTGAGTTTAGGTCCGCAGTAAGTGAACTGTGTGCTGTGTGTGTGTGTATCGTGTGTGTCGTGTGTGTCGTGTACGTAAATGCCCTGCGCGTTGCCGTAGGCGATGGACTCCCTGAACAGCTGGACACCGAGCGAGCCCGTCGCGCAAGCGTTGATCTGGGCGTAGTCCATGCCCCTGGTCTGTAGTTTTGCGCAGTTACAATCAACAATGAGAATGCCAACAACAATACGAAGTCCGAGCCAACACCAGGCAGGTCTGGTCGTACCTGGTTCGTGCAGGAGGGGATATTGTCCGGAATGTTCTTGTAGTCTCGCTGCATGCACACGGCCAGATCCCACCAGCCCCAGGGGTTGTGCGTCACCTGGTGGTGAGTGCGACAACATCACACGCAACAAGACGCCGTGAGATCATGAGCACCGGTCGTGCGTGTGCGTGTGCGTGTGCGGTGGTGCGTGTGCATGTGCATGTGCGGTGGTGCGTCGCTCTCCTCCTATTAACGTGGTAAGTCGCCACAGGTGTGTGCGTGTGCGTGTGCGGTTTGATGGTGAGTACCGTGAGGTTGTGGGCGCATAGCAGGAAGAGATCGCCCACGCATTCTCCCGGTCCTGCCGGTAACGGTGAAAATTGAAGCACGACACACACGGCACACGCGCACGACACAGCCTTACCGTGGAGGCACTCGAACTCGCCGCCGGAGTAGCGGCCGACGAAGAACTCCTGCATGTCCATGATGTCACGCACTCCGGGGGCTTGCATCACCTGCGAGTTCCACTGCAGCTTGAACTGGCTGCAATACTAGTGCTCTCGCCCCCGCCCAAGAAATATAGATAATTGTTAGAATTATTATTATTATTAATTCTTTTATTAGATGATAAACATAAACAAAAATGATAACTATAATGAATACTAATTACAGAGATTTCTGGAAGAGAACGTACGGGGCACTTGGCCATTTCGAAACTTTGGATCCTGACCTTCGGAAAGGTGGCCGTGGCGACCGTCACCGCCAGAAACAAGAGACCCAAACGCAACACCAGCTCCTGCGACTTCATCAACGTTCTTCGTCTTCGCTCTTTCCGTGGCGCAAAAAATGAAAGGAAAAAGAAAACGAATAGAAAACAACAGAAAATGGAGTATTGTACATGGCGCACCGCAACACGCGCGTGCGGGCAAGCGAGTGCCGCGTGTGTTGCGCGCAACCGCTGCTTGTTTGTTTGTTTGTTTGTTTCCGCCTACTACTGCCATTGGCCGTAGTCTTCGCCCGCGTTGTCGTAGCCGTAATCTTCCGCCCCATGATGATGGGTTTCCGCTGCTGCGGCGCGTCTCTCGATTTCGTAGAGGACGAGGTGGTGCAGGAACTGAACGGCCTTCTGCGACATCACCAGTCCTTCCATCGGGTCGCAGCCAGGCGGGTCGTACAGGTTGGGCGCCACCACAATCGCTGCGTGCATCGGACACATAAAGTAAAAACATAGCGAAAACGATGATAAGCAGAAGACACAAGCGTTGAAAGCTGAAAAGCGGAGTACCGAGATTCTGTTCGGACATCTTGTTGACGCTCTTTTGAGAGCACACGTCCACCATCAGGTCCAGCAGCCAGCCCAGGAGAGATCGCTGGTGGACACGCCAAGGAAAATGAATGAAGCGAGTGAGTTTTTGAAAAAGCGGAATGCGTGGGGCGTGGGCGTGGGGCGTGGGGCGTGGGGCGTGGGGCGTGGGGCGTGG